AGTCCGGAGAAGAAAGCCCTTGCAAATCCTGAGTGCCCAGGGAGAGCTGTGTGTGTCTGGAGTTCCTGAGAAAACATCAGTTTATTTTCAATTATTTACTGAGTGTCAGCTGTGTACTAGGTACTGAATTTAGAGCTTGTATTATATAGTCACTTAAAACACAGTTCTTAAAGAGAACAAAGCCTTATAGAGGAAGATCAGCTTTTCAATAATGATTATAATTGGTATGATTCATTTATGTATGGGGCCCAATGAGTAGACGAGAAAACATTTGGTAGAGGCTGGAGAATCTTAGAGGGGTGATATTTTAAGAAGGTAGAATTAATAGGATATGGTGAGAGATTTGATCTAGGCGATGGGTAAAAGAAAAAAGTAAAATTTGGGGGAAACATGAGTTCAGTTTAGGAATGTCAGAATTTCAGGTGTTTTGGAACCTCCAGCTGGAGATGTCTAGTAGACAGCCAAATATTTTAATTAGACTCTTACTCAGGAAGTTGGCTAATACAAGCATCATAGCCTCAGAGTTTCTTGAATTCTTGATTTTAATGAGCTTCCCTAGTCTTCACTTAGGAAAACCACATCCACAGGCATGTCTAGATCTTGACATCATCTTCACTTGCTCTACATTTGATGAATTAAAGTCCAGTATGGCAGTCTGACCACTGGTTCTTGCTATGCCCCAGCTCTTTTATTGCTTTATATCTATATCTTTTCATTCAGGTCATTGATACTTCATGTCCCTCTATTTCTCTTCCTAGTTCAATAGAGCTTTGTACTGTTATTTCTTTCTCTACCAGTCTGGGTCACAAAGGACCTGTCCTACTCTTTAATTTTTAGCATATACAAATTGCTAATTTCTTTACTTTCTGACATATTCATTCTGTATATTCTTAGTGGTGTATCTGGGATGCTGGATGTAATTATGCAGACAGGGGCCACCACAAACATGTAGATTACAGTGTGTCCCTCAGCACTTGTACACATTTTTTTGCATGTGTGTGTGCTCCTGTCCAGGTTGCTCTCCTAAAAACTATGGCACATTTCAAACCTTCACCACTTTTTTCCTGCCTCCATCCACATTGATCCCTTGACTCAAATCTCAATTGTCAGATGGTCTTACTCTCTATTTCAAAAAAAAATTGAAGGGATCATGTCTGACTCCTTCGACCATCAATGCCACACTTTAAAACGTATCCATGGGTAAATTTACATCTCCTTTTCACTGGTCACAGTGGAGAAGATAAATAAAAGATAATATCCAAAGACCTTCTGTGTTCTTCACCCGATCTTTGCTCTTTCAACTATTTTTCTCCTCTACATTAATCTCTCTATATTGGCACATGCTCAAACACTCTTAAAAAAAATAAAACCCTTCATATAATCCTTCATCTCCCTTCAACTTCCGGGCTCCTCTCCAGATCAGATGAATCAGTGACTTTTTATGGTTGTGTGCCTCTAAATCAGGTCACTCAACTTCAGCACTACGGGCATTTTGGGCCTGATAAATCCTTATGGGGGGCTGTCCTATGTACTGTAGGAGCATCCCTGACCTTTAACAACTAGATGATACCTGCACTCTTCCACCAGCTGTGGAACCAAAAATATCTTGCAGACCTCTTTTGGGGGGGCGGTGCAAAATTATCCCTGTTGAAATTAAACTCATAACACTGGTTGTTTGAATAGGTATAGATTCTGAAAATCCCTAGTAACATTTTCTTTATCAGAGAGAATGAAGCTGATTTTACTACTGGAGTGAATGTGATAGCAAAGAATATTGTTTTCTCAAGAAGTTAGACTGATAGGAAACTCAGTAGTGTATATAGAAAGAGGAAATGAAATACGGTACACTGGGGAATACTCGGAGTGAACGTCAAGAGATTATGTGACTTTAGGTTACTGGAACTCACCTGCTGCAAAATACTTGCAATTGAATTTTCTTCCCATTAACTTCTTTCTGATATATTATGGGTAGTGGGTTAGCAAGCTGGAGAACTCTTTTCCATGTTTGGTGGAAGAATAGTGATAGAACTTGAAGAAAGAGAAACATGACCCTGGAAGAGAAATGCATGCTTTTTAAATCATGGTCAAATTTGAAATAAGGTTCATATGTACTAATGATGTTTATATATACCAAGATATTCAAGTTTGAATCAGTTTTTAAAAACAGGACTCTGGGTTTAGGTGTAAATTATAGAATGATGTTCTTTAGGACAGAAATGATAAAATTATGGTTATATAGAACAATAACCATGAGAAGTGCCCCTTTTCATTTCAGCACATCCAGCAATGACTTAGGTCTGCCATGAGACTCAACTCTTTAGGTTGCTTCCTTGAGATGGATAATGTAGGAAACTGAATTAAGAAAGTTCGAATGTCTGTTTTGAGACCAGGACTCATGGTGATACCAGTGTGGCCTTGAGCTTCGTATTTTATTTAAATATTTTGTCTATGTTATACAAGCTTTCCTGTAATTTTTGAGGCCTAATGACCTGATACCCTGAAGAGATGTTTTAAATCAATTATTTCTAATTTGTTTACTACTTTCTATGTTTCAAACCCTGAGCTAAAATCACAGAAATATCTCTAATTCTCACATAAAAGTTGTGAGATGCAGTAGTGTGATGGAGCAAGCTCATCTAGGCTCACAAGAGCTGATTTTGTACATCTTTTTCCAACTCTATTAGTGACTTGAATGAGCCATGGTAGGAATATTTACACCATGGAATCAACACATACCACAAATCAGTGCTTTTTATTTTTTCTTTCTATAAAACTGGTTTACCAGCTGTATAAGTCAGGTTTCTCCAGAGAGACAGAACTAATAGGATGTGTATATAAAAATATGAGAGGGGATTTATTAGGGCAATTAACTCACATGATTACAAAGGCTGTTAAGTCCCACGGACAGCCACATGCAAACTAGGTGCTTGTGGCTTGGCTTGGTCCAAGTCTGAAGGCCTCAGAACCAGGGAAGCCAATGGTGTAGTTCTCAGTCTCAGGCCAAGGCCTGAGAGTCCAGGGGTGCTGCTGGTATAAGTCCTGTAATCAAAAGCCTGAAGAGTCTCAAGTTCTGATGTCCACGAACAGGAGAGAAGAGTGTATTTCAGGTCTAGTGGAGAGATTCAACTTCTCCACTGTTTTTGTTCTCTCTGAACCCCCAGCAATTGGATGGTGATTGCCCATATTGAGAGTAGATCTTTCCCACCTGGTCCAGTCAGGTTCACATGCTAATCTCCACTGGAAACACCTTCACAGACATACCCCCAAATAAGAATTTACCAGTTTCTAGGTATTCCTTAATCTAATCAAGTTGACACTTAAAATTAACCATCACACCAGCATACCACTGAAGATAGGTCTTATTGTCCCCTTTTTATAGCTGAAACTAAGGCTCAGAGAAGTAACACCCTGAATGAGTTTTATTTTGAAAGCCACATGAGCTCTTGGGATGCAAAGCATAATATTAATATAGGGGGATTTCTTATTTTTCTACTCAAGTGTAGACTCCAGTTGGATTTAGATTTTCTTCATAAAAGATTAAATATCCTTATAAATTGTACATTTCCTTTTTTAAAAAAAATTCATTGTGCATAATAAGTTATAATAAGAACATTTTGATGTTGCCATGGTTCTCTTACCTTCCTCCTTGAACATAAAAGGATCATAAAACAGTCTTTGAGACCTGGAAATTGGGGTATATTAGAATGTTATTTTTCATTGTGCTTGGTTTTCTAAGAAATATTTACAAGATGTTCTCAGCATTTGATTTATTAACTCACATTCTATTACTAACCAGGTCTATGACCCTAAACAAGTTTTCTCAGCTGTGCAGTATGGGGGGATGTGACCTGTAAGGTCATGGCCATTCATGCTAGTATTAAAATTCTTATACTTCTAACAACTAGAGTATGTCCCACTCTTAAAATACTAATGTGGAATATAAGTCCTAAAAAGTAATTTTAATCTAATTTTATCGAAGATGTCACTTCAGAGGTGAAGTTTGTTATTTTTCTTGTGAAATAAAGTTTTTATTTTGTTTTGAAAGTTTCAGAATCTGAAGCTGAGGGAATTCTACTGTGAGGGAAACCCGCTGTTTTTGAAGCGACCAGTTATCGCTATACAACAGGAAGATGTCTGGAGTCTAAAGGTGAAAGCTTACCTCATTCACATAAGTCTTCAAACTAAAGCCATGATTTAAGTTTTAACAAGTTTTCTTTTAAGGCATTCTTGCCAAGCCAGCATATAATTAATTTAATCCTAGTCCATTGGCAACACTGATCCTACACATAATCTTTTTGACTTGCTTACAGAATCCAATGTAATCCTATCTGATTTCCAGAATGACTAAATTCTGAGAAATAGAAATGTTTTCCTGGATGAAAAGAAAAGAGAGGAGTTTATTTTTACTTTAGCCTTCTAAGTATTTTTTCAGTATTATCTAAAGATGTATTTGATTTGTTCTTAGCAAGATCTTCGCCTCTTCTATCCCCTTTTCACTTGTCCCCATCCCTGGTGGATGAATAAATATGATCCTAAATCATGATCACTTTAGTAAAATGAATTGATGGTATTAAAGGAAGAAATAGGAAAGCATATTAGAGGATTCCCTTGGTCTTAGACAAGTTAAAGACTACAGATCCTCTCACGCTTGAGTATGATTCTTTTTCATAAATTTGGTCTTCTCAAATTAATTTGGGCCTATAGCTGAACATACAGTATTGTCATAAGACTTCCAGCAATTGTATAGGATTCAAGTTTCCTGAATGTAGGAAACAACCAACCTTGTTCAATGGCTTAGATTGCTTTAAGATACTTTATTTCTTATAGCATAAGTAATACATGCTTTTTACAGAAAACTTGAAAATACAGATGAGCAAGGAAAAAAAAAACTAATTATAATATACTGATTTTAAAAAAGTTTTTTTGTATGAAAGTAATACAAGTTCATTGAGACAAATTAGAAAAAAATAAGCCAATGGAGGTTGATAAAAATGCTGAGAAATTCAGTACACAGAAACATAACTTCGCTTTTTGCTGATGTTTAACCTTCTAAATCTTTGTACGTATCCAGAATGTTTTTCAAGTTAAAGATGAGTTTAAACTCAGCATACAATTTAGAGACTTTCATTCCAAATATTGTAACTATCTTCCCAATCACAGACTATGACATCTTTTTTTTGATTAAGTCTGTCATATGATGACATAATATTTTTAACTACTTCCTCACTGTTTGAGTTTTAGATTATTGGTAATTTTCTGGCTTTCTTGACCTTATCCTTGCAAGTGTCATTATGGTGTAGTGGTTAGTACTCTGTATTGTGGCTGCAGCAAACTCGGTTTGAATCTGAGTCATGGCATGTTTGTAACCTACCTTGGTTTTTTGGACTTTATAAACAAGGCTACAATGACTGTCTTCATGGTAAATTTCATAAATTTCTGGTCCACATCACTGGTATCTTAATGTTTGGTTGGCTCTTTTCAAGCAAATTCCCTTCCAGAGAATATTTCCACAAAATCATTATTTCCTACTGTGTCCAAAAAATAAATAAATAAATAAATAAAAATCTCACTTGAAATTTAATTGTAAATTATTTTAAAAACTGTGGCACTTAATTTGTTTAATCCCTTATAACCTATATTTTCTCCTTGTATCAAGCATTTCAGAATAATAGTAATAGATAACACTGATTTTAAGCTTCCTGTGGGCAATGCACTGTTCTAAGCACTGAACAGGAATGAACTAATTTAGTCCTTTAATAATCCTAAAATAGGTAGATACCATTATTGTTCCCTTTTTATAGATAAAGAAACTGAGACCCAGAGAGGTTAAATAATTTGTTCAAAGTCAAAGAGCTAGTGAGTGTTGGAACACTGATGCCAACGTTAGCAGTTGGGCTGCAGACCTCATGCTGCAGTGTTGCCTCCGAACGGGGATGCAGGAAGGTGAGTGAATTGGAGACAGGGCAGTCCTGGGTTGGAAAAGTTTCTGGTTTCTGGAGGAGGATGGATGGATGAGCAGAAAACCCAACCTGGTAGCAGTCTTTCATGATGGGACCAAGACTCAAGTGAGGGAGCATTTCTCTCTTCTAATTTCCCAAACTGTGAAGTCCAGGAGCACAAGAGTTAATTTATTTAATGTATTTAGCAAAAATAGCTATTTTTACTTGCATTATGTAAATGATTTGGTTATTTTTGAAAGCATCTATAAGAACTTTTCTTAGTAAGGTGACTTAAGTTGATCATACATTTCATATTTATACTCCAAGTCATTTCTTTTTTTTTTTTTTTTTTTGTCTTTTATCTTTTTCCGTGTCCGGCAACGGATCGCAACCCTCAGTGTTGCTCCCGTACCGGACCGGGGACCGGCGACGGGACCGCAACCCTCGGCATTGCTCCCGCGCCTCACTCAGCCAGTGAGCAGGAACCGGTCTGCATGGGGGATCCGAACCCTCGGGCGGGAGCGCCGCCGCGCTTCCCAAGCGGCGCACTATCCAGTGCACCACCGGGCTGGCCCCAATATTTATACTCAAAGTCATTTCTACTGGACATTTCGTCAATGTAACTGATTAAACTACTTGGGTTGTCAAAGAATTATAGGGCTTATATAAAAATGGTTATGCCTTGGTAAAACTTTTTAAAACTTCTTTTCCCTTCAGAGATTTATGAACTAAAATTAAATGCTAATAATTAGATTATAGTGAAATATTAGCCAGAACATACTGCATTAGTAGATGCCAGACTAAGTGTTTTACCAGTGTTATCAAATTTAATTCTTCAAACTCTATGTGATAGCATTGGAAAAGTTCCTATTTTACAGATGAGGTATCCAAGATCAGGGAAGTTAGGGACTTGTCCAAATAGTGTCACACAACTAATATGAGGGTACTTGAAAAAGTCTGTGGAAAAATAGAATTAAAAGATAATATAAAACTTCCTGTGAACTTTTCGAAGTATCCTCACAAGTCATAGAGCCAGGATTTGAACCTATGTCTATTTGACTCTGACTCAGAATCTTTGCATTTGATGCTGTGTTTTAGTGCCCATGATATATACAGTAATAATTGATTATACAATAGTTCCAAAGTTTATTTTTCCTTCTAAGAATTCATATATTTTTTACATTTTATAATTTTTTTACTTATGTAATTTGAATATGTATAATTTTATAATTAAATAACAAAAATACACATGAAACTAATTTCAATTTATGATGGATTAGAAATAGGAATACTTTCTGTCCTACATATAGTTAGCTGATAAATATTCTAGCAAAATAGCACATAAGCTATTCAAAATGAACAACTTATTGAGATTTGATGACTTTTTAAAATAACATTGGAATTAGGCCATCACTAAGTTGTATATTCTCAAAAACTGCATTGAATGTGTCTCTAAGAGGTCTCCTAAAAGATAATACTGGTCATGCCAATAGTATCTCACTTTATATATCCTCACATTTCCAAGTAATAACTTTTATTTTAATGGTATATATTATTCTTCCAAAGTAACACATTGGCAGCAAGAAGGAGAAAAATATACATAATGGGTGATGTAAGAGTTGTCAAGAGATATACTGAGTGCAACAAACATGTTTGGGTCCAGAAATCATAAATGGAAAAAGTGATCTGTGTCAACCTATTTATAAGTCGCATGTATTTCAGCAATTTTTCTACCATCTGCTATTTTCAGGAACGAATCCTTGTCTATGAGTTTTCTGCAGTTTATAGTGAGACTTAGTCTGAATTCATGTAACTAAAAACTTACGTCTAAAATCAGTATTTTATTCAGAATCACAAGCTTTGCTCTGCTTAAGCAGTTAGAGAAAGGGCAACGATAGGCATCTGAGTTAGGAGTCTTGGTAAGACTAGTGTGAAAGGATGACCTCAGCCTTGTAACTCATCCAGGAGAATGAACTTAAGTGGGTAGGAGGTTGTGCTATTGAAGGATCAGACATATAAGGAACCCATGCTTGGTGCTGTTTTGCTGTATAAATGCAGCTTTCCCAGAAGCCTGTTAACTGGGAGGGATAGGGTAATAGGAAACAGAGGCACAGCAATTTATAGAATTTTGTTATTTTTTAAATTTTTTAAAATTTTAATTGGGGTGAATGAGTGAAAGATTATGTATGTAAGTTTATAGGTATTTATGTGTGTATGTATTCCCACAGATTTCTGTCAAATCCTGATGTGGACTATTTTAATACTACTGGGAAATCTTTCACTTTTGCCAGAAAAAAAAAAAGTCCCAAATAAACCATCCCCATTCACTATTAAAAATTTGAGCAGTGCTTGTGTAACATTTATACACGACTTTCATGCTACTGACATAGAAAACGGGGGACATTTAGTGGATTAAGGCAAATGTTTATTTGTTTTCTTTGCTTGGTCAGTGAAGATTTAATTTCTTGTATTGTATAACGTATTTTTAATTTGAGATGATGATTTCGTTGATGGTCCTAGTAAAAGGCAACTTCCATTTTCTCATTACTCCTTTTATTACTTAGTATTATAATATATTACTGCACAAAGTTGATTTTCTGAACATATCTATCTGGATAGGTTTAACATAGATTGAATTCAAAGATTTGGTACACAGAAATCATTGCTCTTTACCGAGATGTTGCTATTCAGGTACTCAGAGCAGCAGGTAATTAGACCAGTGCCTCTCAGACTTGAATGTGCATACAGATTAGCTGTAGACCTTGTTAAATTACAGATTCTGATTCAGTAGGTACAGAGTGTGTCTGAGAGTCTGCATTTCTAATAAGCTTCCAGGTGATGCAGATTCTACTGGTCTGTGTACCACAGTTTAAGTAGTAAGGATTTGGGCGTTTGTAAATATTACAGACTCAAGTTTTGAGTCCCGACTGAATGTTTGTACAGTTCTTGCTTATTGTAATAAGAGGTACCAAATTTGAACCTAAATTATGTAATTTTGTAAAATATGTAATATAAATTATTATGACTTGGATTTCTATATGTAAGAGACATAGAAATATTACAGTGCAAGTAATTTATTGTTCTTCATATTAAGGAAAACCAAATTTATTTACAATACCAGTCATTTACAACATAATTCATTAGATATACTGCAGAAACATAATTTAAGAGAAACTGAGGAATAAACCAAAAATTTGAATTAGTGAGATAGGAATCATTGTAATGTTAAATAGTTTTTCTGAAAATAATCTGAGGAACTATATTCTTTTTTAATTTAGGAAATAGCATCAAGATTTGTAATGAATCAACTAGAAGAAAAGAATCCATTCCTAATGCATGCCATAGAACGGTACCCACAAGTCAGGAACATAATCTCTCAGGGAAAAAAATGTGTAATATGTGGAAAGTCCTTTTGCACCATGTGGCTGGAATGTGTTCAATTTGTTCCTCCATCGAAGGTAAATGGTGCTTTTTGTGTGAATATGAACATGAAGCCTACTATCCTTTTTCCTTATCTAAATTAACAATTATTAACTAGATTTATGTCTAATTATTGACTTCTATGATAGTATAATATTAATTTTGAATAGAAAAATTTGGATAAGTGTCTGTAATGATCATTATCACCCATTTCATTTATATCTATAAACTCTCTCATTTGTTAGAACACATGCGAAATTCCATGGAAGGCAAAATTTCATGGAAGTTGGAAAGCTTTAATCAGCAAATCCCTTTTGTTCATCAATATTAATAATAAAACCAGGATATGTTCCTCTAAGGAGAAGAGTTCACTACTCTGTTGTGGAAGTTTTGGTGGAGAAAAGGTGAATGTGCCAGTTAATTTATGTCACAACAATGATCTAGCAAACCAAATGTGCACGCATGTCCTCCCAGAACATTATGTCCCCCAGGAGTTGTGTACCTGAGGGCAGTTCACATAGTCCATAAAATATGTTCTAGGCCAGGGTTCAGAAATTTCTTTTTCTGCAAATGGTCAGGTAGTAAATATTTTAGGCTTTGTAGAAAATGCAGTCTCTGTCATCACTACTTGACTCTCCTTTGTAGCATGAAAGCAGCTAGAAAATATGTAAACGAGTCTGTCTGTATTCTAATACAACTTTATCTGTGAAACTTGAAATTTGAATTTCATATAATGTTCACATGTCATGAAATACTATTTTCTTTTTATTTTTTTCCAACTATTTAAAAATGTGAAAACCATTCTTAATTCACAAGTCTAGTGAAAACAGGAGGTAGGGCAAACGGCCTGGGGACTGTAGTTTTTCTACACCCATTCTAGACCATCCAACATCTGCTCTTAACACCAGAATTTCCTTTCTGCTCTTGGTGAGAACTTGGCCTATCTTGGGCCAGCACGTGCCATAGTTGGTGATAATGTTAAATAAATGAATAAAAACAGATGTAGTTCCTGCTATCCTGAAGATCATCATCTGGTGAAGGAGGCAAACATTAAACAAACACATATGTAAATATAAATTGTGAGAAATATAATGATAGAAAAGAATGGTGTATTAGTTTTCTGGGGCTACTGTAACAAAGTGCTACAAATTGGGCAGCTTAAATAAGAGAATTTTATTGTCTCACTGTTCTAGTGGCAAAATGAAGGTGTCGGCAGAGTTGGTTTTTTCTAAGGGCTGTGAGGAAAAATCTGTTCCAGGTTTCTCTCCTTGGCTTGTAAATAGCTATCTTCTCCTTATGTCTTTTCACACTGTCTTCCTTCTAAGTATGTGTGTGTACAAATGTCCCCTTTTTATGAGGGAAAATTTAGGATTTCATATATGATTAGGGCCGACCCTAATGACCTCATTTTAACTTAATAGCTCTGCAACAGCTTTAGTTCCAAACAAGGTCACTTTCTGAGACATTGTGTGTAAGGACTTCAACATACAAATTTGGGGTGGGGGACACAATTCAACCCATAAGAAATGTGTTGCACAAGCAAGAATAAATGGGAAGCCCTATTTTACATCTGGGATAAGGGAATTCCTCACTGGGGAAAGGATATTTCAGTTGACACTTAAAGGAAAAGAAGGAGTTGGTCAGGTAAAGAGTTGGGAAAGAGTATTTTCAGGTAGTAGGAACAGTGAGCATTAAGGCTTCGAGATGGGAAATCACTTTCTGATTTGAGGAACTGAAATATGGTTCAGTGTGGTTAGAGAATGTTAACTGAGTAGGAGTGTTGAGATAGGCTGGAGGGAGATCACAAAGTATCATGTAGTCCACATTAGGAAACAAGCTTTTATTCAATGTGCATTGAGACACGATTGAAGGATTTTACGTAAAAAAGTGACATGCCCTGATTTACATTTTATAAAGATAACTTCTGAGTAGAGAATGACTTAGAGGAGGGCACAGAAATGAGGAGATCAGGCAGGAGGCTATTTGTGCTAGACCAGGTGAGAGCTGAGGGTGGCAGCGGTGGTGGAGACAGATGGATGGACTAGTGATGTATTTTGGAGGAAGAAATAATAAGACTTACATTCCCAGTTTTCTGGCCTACAGAACTGTATAGATATAGGTACTTTTTACTGAGGTAGGGAAGACTAAGGGAGCAGTAGGCTTGTTGCGAAGAGATAGAAGTTTTGTTTTGGACATGGTAAGTGTGAGATTCCTGCAATCAGGAAGCACAAATAACAGGAAGCCATAGACGCCTTTCCAGTCTGTTAGGCATGCTGGAGAATCTAGGATTTGCTGTTAAGGGTGTGTGTGTGTTGTGGGGGACAGATTTTGATAAGGAGCTAGATAGATGATCTCTAAGAACATTTCTATCTGTAAAGAATCTGATTCTAAATCCTGTAGTTGTAGCGATTTAGGGTGTCTTTAGACTTGAGTAGTCTTTGTGCCAATAAAGGACCTGAGCTGTGAGTCTGCTTATAGCTGTTTTATGGATTTTACCACTAGCTGTTCACCAAATTTACCAATGAGTTAAAAAAAAAAAATACAGATATCTCACCCTAAACCTACTAAAAGAGAATCCGTGGGGGTAGGGTCCTGGGCACCCAAATTTTTATAAAGTTTCCAAGTTGATTTTCATGTACAGTCATACAGATATCTCACCCTAAACCTACTAAAAGAGAATCCGTGAGGGTAGGGTCCTGGGCACCCAAATTTTTATAAAGTTTCCAAGTTGATTTTCATGTACAGTCAGGGTTTGGAATCTCTTCTCTACATTTTTAGATAGGTTTAGGCCATCCCAGTACCACAGGACAATGGCTGTGTCTTACTAACCTTAGAAAGCCAGCCCTACTTGGTGTTTTACACATAGCAAAAATGACAAAATCATTGATCAAATGTATGAACTAATAAATTAGTGACAAGGTCGAGATATAAAAAATAGTGAAAATAAAAAGGAGGGGGTTGGTGAAGGGGTAAATCCACTGTGGAGTACTGGAAAATGACAAGCCCTTTAATATGACCCACCTGGAAGAGAAACCTTAATGTGGCTGCTTTAGGGCACCTGTGGAGTCTGCTCTCTGTCAGTCTGTTTCTTGGAATCTATATGCTGAAGGGCTTTCACTTGATTCTGCTGGAAGCAGAACAAGGGCTCTCACAAGTGTGCGGAGTTCCCGAGTATCCACAGAGCTGGGATGAGGTCTCTCCCAGCACTGCTTCCCCAAGGACAGTTGCTGAGCTTAGTGAATGCTGGTAAAGTAGTTTTACTAGCATCATGAGCTGCTATTTCATAGGTTTACATCTCTAATTGCTTGATGAAATCATCACTACTTGTATTTCATAGCTATACTATCTTTCTCAAAACTCTGTGAGAATTTCTTTCATGAAGTGAAAGTGTTCTGTTCAAGATGAAGCCTAGTAAGGACAATGTTTTACCCACTAACTTTGTATTTTGAAAAATTTGAAAGCAACACAAAACTTGAATGAATAGTACAATGAACATTTGTATAGCCGCTATCTAGTCACCAGTTTTTAATATTTTGCTCCATTGGCCTAATCTCTTGTTATCTTTTGACTTTAGGAATACATCTTTTCTGAAACAAATTTGATATGACACAAACCAAGAAAATGGCCTACGTAGAGAGACTGTATCACTTTCTAGGGCAAAAATAAAAGAATAGATTCTTAGTACTAAAAATATAAATAAAGAAATAAATCTGTCTTTCATACCAAGTAGAGAGCTTTTATTAAGAGTAACAACAGATGACATAATATTTATGGGCCAGAAAATATGTAGGTATTTTAGATGTACTAGTCCACCCTTATGGTGTGGAGGTTCTCACTACTGCCATGTTTGCTTTCTAGGAAGCAGAGCACAGATTTTACAACAGCCAATTTAGACAGGTGATTTATAATTCTGTGGAATAAAATCAGGGAACTATCATGGTAGTTCACATGACCCTAATATCAGGTATTTACACAGGAGTTTTGTCCAGTAGACCATTAGGATCCCCAAGTAATGAGTAAGAGATCTAAGTCAGCTATGGTTGTGGTTAGAGAAGCTAAAATTTTCCTTGCTATGTCCTTTACCAGAGTTTTTGAGACCACCAAATATTTTAAAATGTTAGATGTAAATACCCAGCTGGTGTTACTTCTTCATGGTTGTGCTTTTACTCATCACAAGGGAAGGATGCTAAAGTAATTAAGAAAGGACATGAGTCTCACTCCTTCAATAAATCATTTCTAATAAATTCATACTGCTAACACAATCCAGCTTGACATCACGTTTGCAAAATACTTTCTGAGGAATTGGGAGCCTAAAAGGAAGGATACAGGTTTTTTCCTCTTGATTCAGTTGTGTACAAATTATATTCGTACTAGACATATTCACCTGTGCTTAAGAATGGCAAATTAAAAAAGAGGAAACATCTAATCAGAGAAAGCATGCTTAACTCAGGGGCATGTATACTGAGCTCTACCATAAAAGTTGCCTACAAAAGTTCTTTATGAGTAAGAAACAGCCATTTCAGTTACTCAGTCTTTCCATAACTTGATGCTCTTGCTATGGAAATGTCTTTGTCATAGTTGAGTCAGTATTTATACCAGAAAGTTTTGGAGTCTTCATGGTACCCAACAATTTTTTTTTTTTTTTTTTTTTTTTTTTTTTTTTTTGAGGAAACATCTAATCAGAGAAAGCATGCTTAACTCAGGGGCATGTATACTGAGCTCTACCATAAAAGTTGCCTACAAAAGTTCTTTATGAGTAAGAAACAGCCATTTCAGTTACTCAGTCTTTCCATAACTTGATGCTCTTGCTATGGAAATGTCTTTGTCATAGTTGAGTCAGTATTTATACCAGAAAGTTTTGGAGTCTTCATGGTACCCAACAATTTTTTTTTTTTTTTTTTTTTTGTGACCAGTAAGGGGATTGCAACCCTTGGCTTGGTGTCGCCCGCACCGCGCTCAGCCAGGGAGCGCACCAGCCATCCCTATATAGGATCCGAACCCACGGCGCTCTGCCGCTGTGCACCCAAGTTCCGCATTC